TGGCACATCTCTAGGTGGTGGTGTTAGCGACAATGGTAACGTGATAATATTAATAAGATTTTAGTTTTTTTTTTTACACATTTCATTCAAATAAATTTATTTTTCACAAAAAAATATTTTGTGGGAAAAAAAATAAAAAGACAAAACAGCCCAAAAAGATTGATATCGCAAAAATTGAAATGTCGAATTTTTTAATTTTTTATTTTTTGAGATATATTTGAGAGAGTAGCTTAGATGGTTTTCAAAATATAACAAACTCTTATCTCATACCTTTAACAATGTCCCTCAAAATCCTTAATTTATGAGGAATCATCCTGTCTTTCAAGGATTTCAATTAGGTTGTATACCCTTTCAATTCTATTGATTGTTTTATATAATACATAAGAAAAAAAATATAAAATAATAGATATGTAACCAATAGAATTATAAAGACATATCACGTCAAATATAGGACAAATTTATGTGATAATTTTTCCTTATCCACCCTTCACTTTGATCTCTTTTATAGTTGGAGAAAATCTCTCGATGCCAAAAGAATAGGAGATCCACAGGGCCACAACTCCCACGTCTCAATCTAATCTCTCTCTCTCTCTCTCTCTCTCTCTCTCTCATAACTCATGCTTTCATCTATTTCTTTCAACTCTAAAAATGGCTTCTTCTTTACACAACACAATAAAGCGAGAGAACAACCCATATATCTGCAGAACTCTCACTATCAGTACTTCTAGGAATGACCTCACCGTCCCACCAACAACTACTAATTCATCATCATCATCATCCTTCATTATCATCAGAATATCTCATCAGAAGATAATCAGAATCAAAATACCCAAGTTGCTATCCAAGACCATCATGCACAAAACAACTATTACTAGCAATATCAATGGCAATGTCAACCAAACCAATGGTGCTGATGAAGACAACAACAACAAGACCAAGAAGAGATCATGGCCAAAACCCAGAAATCTTTTGCCCAAGAAAGTAAGTTTCATGGCTTGCAATATCTTTTGTGGTAACAAGAAACCACCGTCACCACCATCACTTCCATTACAAGATGGGAATGAATTGGAGATTGGTAATAAAATGGAAGAGAGAGGGGTTGAACCAAAGATTTCGGGTTCGGTGAAGAATACTAGTAGTAGTTGTAGTAGTAAGAAGGTAAGTTCATCAAGCAAATTTATTAGGGATTCAAACATAATGATTAGGAAGGCAAGGTCAGGAGGAGGAGAGAGAAAGAAAGTGATCAAGAAGAGAGATGAAGAAGAAAAAAATGGAGAGAGAGAGGAGGAAGAAGCAGAGGAGTTATGCAAGAAAAGGATACTGATGGGGGAGAAGTGCAGGCCATTGAACTTGTCTGGTGCGCTTCATTATGATAAAAATGGAGTTTTGTTACCTGAGTTGTAAGAGTTAAATCTTAATCCCCACCAGAGCAACATTTATTTATTTTATTTTGTAGGGCAAATTATACTGGTAATCCCTCTATTTTGATCTTTGTATTATTTTAGTTCTTATAATTTCAATTGATTCGATTTTAATCCTGAATTTATTACTGTCTCAATTTAATTCAATTGAATATAATTGTTAGTATTTTTTAATGAAAAATACGTACATAAGTGGCATGTGTTATGATTTTAAGGACAAAATTATAAGTTTACCCAACTCAATGAGTTAACATCAATCAATTCAGTGATAATTTTTCATTAAAAACACAAGCGGTATTATCAATTGTACCAAATTGACACGAAATCTAAAATTAAGAATCAAAATTGAGCCAAGGATCAAAATGACACCAGAGACAAAAAAAGATTACCGGTGTAATTTGTCTTATTTTTTAATTTAACCTACCTGTTGTGCAGGCCATTTCAGTTTTTTTTTCCTGGTTTTTTTGTTTTGTTTTTTTGTTTTTTTTTTTTTTTTTTTTGGACTCTGTTTTTGTACACCAGTATCAATGGAAAATATGTGGAAGACTGACTAATCGAGTTCTTGTTGAAAAGCAAATATTTTTTTCTTCAGAAATTGATAAATCAAGGCTGCTTTTAACATGTTCAAGCAAAGCAATGCTAAGAATACAACACAGAATTGGTTCACACAAAATGCAATCTAATCCTAGCATTGCACTCTGTGACCCAACATTCTGTGTTCTCTCCATTAGTGGGCTCAAGAAGAATATAAAGGGTAACAACAGTGCAGTGGTGAGTTTAAAATATAAAATTAATTTTTAATGTTATAAAGATTATCATTAATATGTAATAATTTTTTTAAGTTGCACTGGAATAAAATTATCACTAATATCAACCTTGTAGGTGCACTCGTGGCAGTTCTTGCTTTAGGAACATGTTTTGGCTAGGGTTGCAAAACGTATGAACCTGCCCAAACTCCATTTAGGTTGAGGTTTCGTTTGATAACTTAATATTTTAATTTAAAAGTAATTAAAAAAAATTTAAAAATTAACAATCTATATCAAAAAGTTAAAAATTTTCTTTTCTCTCTATTTTTTATACATATTTTCATAAAAAAAAAAATCAAAAAGTCATTCTAAACATACTAATTTTTTTTTACGTCATATTTTAGTCAAAAAAATTAAAAAATTACCAAAATAGTATGTTCCCAAACGAGAACTCAGTTCATTAAAAATCCAATCAAGATTTAATCGTCATGTAAATAAACCAAGCTTAAATCTATTACTTAATAAATTAAAAATACGATCAAAAAACCAAATTACTCAAACTTCAATTATAATAAACTCAACTAAAAACTCATTCGAGATTAGCATATTACATAAATAAACCAAGGTTTATCACATTTTAAAACTCAATATATTCAGAGGTTAAATTTAAACAATCTTCTACTAATACTCATTTGCAATATGTAGTGGTCATTTGCAATGTATAAAGGGTCGTAGCATTATCCATATATTTGGTTTCAATTTTTTAGAAATTAAGGTTTTGTTTTTCATATTTTTTTTTATTAATTTTTAGTGAATATTTTTTAAATTTTAAATAATTTTTTTTACTTTTTCAAATACAATTTACTTAGATACATCTAAATAATAAAATATTTTTAAAAAAATATTTTAAATAATTTTCTTAAAACGAAAAACCAAATAAAATTTTGTAAAAGCTGAAACCAAATAAAATGTTACTGTCACATTATTCACATTATTCCAGATGAGATTCCTGTATCATTTTTAAACAAGGCCCATCCGCCCAATCTCCCTCTACCTCGAAGGACCCTCAAGAACAGGCAAAACCGCTCAACTCTTTTGTTTTCTCACCAGTCAGTAACTCAAATATTTAAGCAAACCTTCATATTTACTACTAAAAATAAAATAAAAAAAGATATTCACTTTCCCTTTCTCATCATCTTATATAGCCATTGACTACAACAAATTCCATCATCAATCTTTTATAAAACCAGAAGCAACAAATTATCAAGAGATCCCACAAATACCATCATAGAAACATTGAAGATTGAACCCAAAAAAAAACACTTGGCCACAATTATGTTTTACACATTAGCTGAGAACTAGAGTCCTACCAATCTTATCACATATTAACAAAAAACCAGCAAGTCACACAATCCAAACACAAACTCATGGCCTTAACGGTTTCAACCCAAGGGATGCACGAATCCTGTTTGCTTCTGCAATCTCTGGATCTGGGTGGTCGGTCCCATCATCCTTCTTCTTTCCTTTCTTCTTCTTTGGTTCATCTCGAGCATTCCCATCCTCTGCCCCATTCCCGTGCCTTCTAGGGCTCACACTGCTGACATTTTCAACTCAGAGAATTTCTCTGGGCTAGAATTTCTTTGGACAGAATTTATTCTTGGTACTTACTTCTTCAGGAATTTGATCCAATTTTAGCCTTATGGTGTGTACTAACTTTAGTTTAACAATTGCTTGTGGATTTCATGTATGGTGTACCTAAAATCACAAGAAAATACTCTGATTTGCACCATTTTTGGGAATTGGATGAGACATTTTCAAAACATAGAAAATTAAAAAAATTGAACAAACCAGAGAAATTTGAAATTTCTCTGGTTTGAAATTTCTCTGGATGGAAATTTCTCTAGGTTGAAATTTCTCTGGACAAAATTTCTCTGGACCAGAATTTCTCTGGATCAAATTGAGGGACCTTAGACATTATGAAAATATTAGATGTCCTTTATACTATAAAGTCTTAATACCAGGGACCCTAAAAAAAAACCCCATTTTACACATCTTTTCATAAAAAAAATCAAAAAATCATTCTAAACATACTAATTTTTTTTACGCTATATTTTAATCAAAAAATTAAAAAATTACCAAAATAATATGTTCCCAAACAAGATCTCAGTTCATTAAAAATCCAATCAAGATTTAATCGTCATGTAAATAAACCAAGCTTAAATCTATTACTTAACTCAATAAATTAAAAATATTAGCATATTACATAAATAAACCAAGGTTTATCACATTTTAAAACTCAATATATTCTCAAGTTAAATTTAAACAATCTTCTACTAATACTCATTTGCAACATGTAGTGGTCATTTGCAACGTATAAAGGGTCGTAACATTATTCGATATATTTGGTTTTAATTTTTTATATTCAATTTTTTAGAAATTAAGTTTTTGTTTTTCATTTTTTTTTTTTAATTTTTAGTAAATATTTTTAAAATTTTAAACAATTTTTTTTACTTCTTCAAATACACTTTACTTAGATACATCTAAATAGTAAAATATTTTTTAAAAAAAATATTTTAAATAATTTTCTAAAAACGAAAAACCAAATAAAGTTTTCTAAAAGCTGAAACCAAATAAAATGTTACTGTCACATTATTCACATTATTCTAGATGAGATTCCTGTATCATTTTCCCATATACACCATAGAAGCAGAATAGCTCAACTCTTTTGTTTTCTCACCAGTCAGTTACTCAAATATTTAAGCAAACCTTCATATTTACTACTAAAAAAAAAGAAAGATAATCACTTTCCCTTTCTCATCATCTTATATAGCCATTGACTACAACAAATTCCATCATCAATCTTTTATAAAACCAGAAGCAACAAATTATCAAGAGATCCCACAAATACCATCATAGAAACATTGAAGATTGAACCCAAAAAAAAACACTTGGCCACAATTATGTTTTACACATTAGCTGAGAACTAGAGTCCTACCAATCTTATCACATATTAACAAAAAACCAGCAAGTCACACAATCCAAACACAAACTCATGGCCTTAACGGTTTCAACCCAAGGGATGCACGAATCCTGTTTGCTTCTGCAATCTCTGGATCTGGGTGGTCGGTCCCATCATCCTTCTTCTTTCCTTTCTTCTTCTTTGGTTCATCTCGAGCATTCCCATCCTCTGCCCCATTCCCGTGCCTTCTAGGGCTCACACTGCTGCGGGTATGCCTCATGCCTTCCTCCATCACGATCACGATCATTGCGATCCTTACTCCTACTTCGGCTCCTTGAATGGCTCCTCCGCCTACCACGCTCCCTGTCTCGCCTATCCCGTTCCCTACCTTCCCTCTCCCTTTCTCGCTCTCTCTCACGGCCACCGTATTCCTTGTCATCTCTCAGGCGATGGCGGTGGTCCCTGTCCTTGTCCCTTTCCCTGTCTCTATCTCTATCTCTGTCACGCCCTCTTCCACGTTCCCTATCATAATCATGATCCCTGAGAAAATGAAGTGACAAAAATGCAACATCCATAATTCAATTATCAAACAGAACTAAAAAAATGTTCTGTGATCTTGATATACTAACACGAATATATGAAGAAATGTACTAAATTAATCAAAAGAGAACACCAAAATAAATAAATAAAATGTGAGGTCCATAATACATACAGGATTCTGGTACCATAGGAAGCTGGTTTAGAGGATTTGTATGCAATTATACCATGTGCAGGTGCAAGTATATGTTTCTATACTTCATTAGACCATATACTAGCTACTACATAGAAAATTCACCGAGTCCCCTATAAACTTAACATGAAGAAGAAGATAAAAAAAAAAAAGGGATTGGAATTGGGGTGAATGTCAAACTTATGGACTACCCTATTTTCATAATTTTCTTAAACCAGACCACACATCCTTTCAGATTAAATCAGTTTTTAATTTAAAAAATGGGGGGCTCAAATGTAAAATGCATGATTGCGTCATAAAATAATGGCTACAATCCGATTCATGAAAACAGATAATCACATGCAGGGCATGAATAAATCCATAAAGAGCTTAAAGATGAAAAACAGTTATTAAAATTGAATTGTTTGATCCATCATACTTCTCGCTGCACACTCTTGGTACAGAAAAACCTGGCAGGATCATAAAATATTGATATCGGAAGCTGTTTCAAACCACTGATGTCTTTAAAAGCTATGTCAGCAGCATAAACTCTCAAATATGTGAATGTGTGTGCCTGTGTAGGTATAAATATGGTTGTGTGCACAAATGCATGTGCAGATTCTGGACAACAGCTTCCTGCATATCTATCATGCTAATATGCTAACAAAACGAGTCAAACTACAGGCTAAACTTGATAGTCACTAGAAATAAATACAAAGCTTTACAATGAAAGACTACACAATAAAAACAAATTCCACCAATAAAGGAAACTATACAGTATACGATATTGATTCAACACCTGAACATTGTCATAAAGAGAAACCAAAGATACTTGATTTACCGGCCATGGACAACGGAAAAAAGTAATGTGTCAAGATCAAGAGAAACCATTGTGAAAATCAAATATTCTTCATTTAAAAGAAAATAGAGAAAAAGATAAAAAAATGTCTTTCAAATCAGTAAGATAAAACATACTGCCAGGAACCAACGAAATCAGAAATAATATAAAATACATTCCACAAAATAACAGAGTAATATATATATATATAATATGGAAGCAGAATCACTCTACCTATATCTGTGACTGTCACGTTTTCTGTCCCTATCTCTTTCCCTCGTGGGACTTCGCCCACGATAATAAATCCTGTGTCAAGAACAAATACCAATACATCAGAAAATAAACACCCTGATATAAAACAATAACAAATATATTTTTTGATAATAGCATCAAAAGAAAAATAAAGAAATATATATACAGAACGAGAAGAGAGAGAAGACCTTTTCATGAGCTCCAGTGTCTAATACATCATTGAGTTCGTCTTCCTCCTCTTTTTCTTCCTCCTCCTCAAAATCTTCTTCCAAAGCACTTATTCTAGGGTCTAGTGAACCAAGGGATTCAAGAGTCCATCTGTAAGTACAGAATATATAAGTACATAATAAAAAGATGCTCAAGAAAATATAGGTATAACATAGACTTGAAAGGAAGTGCCAAACAAAATGTTATTTATCAACTAAAATATAATATTAGATAACTTAATTATTGGAGAATGACAGCAAAAAAATGAATTCTCGCCCAGACCCAGCTTGCACAATTTGTACTAGGTGGGAATCTCCTTACAAAACTAGGTTGGATCAGAACAGTCACATTATCAATAAGTGATAGGAATTACAAAACTGATAACAATAAATATATGAGTTCAGTGTCTTAAAAGGCGCGCTTAGGCGTGCGCCTAAGCGCGAGGCGCAATGAGGCGCAGCCTTGCGCTTCGAGCAGGTCAAGGCGAGGAGCAATACGCAAGGCGCAGCTTAGGCGAGGGCTTTTTTTCGAGGTGCGGGCTTCATTGGCTTTACCTATTTTTCTACTCCAATTGTCGATAAAGTGCTTTTTTGTGGGTATACCTATAGGGATTCAAAACTCTTCAATATAAAATGACCAAATGTGGTCAAAAGAGAGCAGAAAGTGATAAAAGATTGAATGCTATGCTTTATATCTCTTGTTAGATATTATATTTCTAATTTTTAGAAGATTGAATGTTATGTTTAGAGATTATTGAAAATTGTTATGATTTTTTAAATTATATATATATATATATATTTTATGTTAAAAATTTTGCCTATTTTATAATTTTGCTTTTCTTCTACTATTTGAGCTTCGCTTTGGTGTGGCGCACGCTTCGCCTCGCGCTTAGGCTATAGGAGACCTTATCGCCTCAATGCGCGTAGAGCCTTTTAAAACACTGTATGAGTTATCCTCATTGTGACATTTTAGCTTAAAACACAAATCAGATCTGTACACTACCGTTTCTTAATGCGTGGCATAGCAATATCACAGGAATAATCTTTTGTCAGGAGTTCATCAATAACCTCATCCATATGTGTCAAAGCGAAATCTGTTACAGTTACAACAGGATCATTAGACTGTAAGTTACTATCATGCCACAAAGATCAGAGGTAACATCAAAATTATAGCAGATTTTAGAGACATTCGTAAAAAGGTTAGAATTCCTACTCCCATCAGGTAATTTCTGCCTCAGTTTTCGATAGTCATTGTACAACGGTTCCAAGTATCGGTACACATCAATGTCTGTCCCTGTAAGACGCAAATAAAATGCTCCGAGCACCCGTACATATCTGCTTACAAATAATGAAATAATCAGTCAAATTTGTGTCTTATTTATTAAGTAAAAAACTAACAATCTAGATTACAAAAATAGATCAGAAACACTACGGACAAATCACAAACATAGAAAGATAAATAACAACATAAGCAAGAAGAAGTACCAGATAAAATCAATCAAGGCACAGTTAAGACTTTAAATAATGATGCTGATGCTCTTATTAACAAAATAAATTCAGCATAAGCACGTGCACGACCTTGAAAACGAGAGAGAGAGAGAGAGAGTTCAACCTCAAAAATAATCAGTGTGTTTGGTTTGAGTTTTTTGGATTAAGTTTTTTGAAAATTGAGTTTTTTGGTTTTCGTATTTTTTTTGTTTTTAGTGAATATTTTTAAAATTTTAAACATTTTTTTTTACTTTTTTAGATTCACCTTACTTAGATGTATCTAAAAAGTAAAAAATTTATGAAAAAATATTTTAAAAAATTAATAAATACATAAAAATATAAAAAATGTACTGAATTCTCGTATTTTTTTTGTATTTTTGGTATTTAGTGAATTTTTAAAAGGTTTTTTTCACAAATTTTTTACTTTTTAGACATATGTTAGGTATGTCTAAAAAGTAAAAAAAAAAATTGCTTAAAATATTTAAAAAATTCAGTAAAAACAAAAAAATACGGAAAACAAGAAAGTAGAATTTTCTGAAAAGTGTTTTTTGAAAACAGGAACCAAGCAAAGTGAATAATATTCATAAACTCAAGCACAAGAAAAGAAAACAATAATCCAAAGGAAGTCCAACCCTGTACCAAACCACAAGTTCCTAAAAGAAAGCATGGAAAACGTCAACATACAATACCCATGTGCATTGCAACATTCATTTCAGTTTTCAGTTTTCAGTTTTTAGTTTTTAATTTAGTTCAGTTAACTACCTCGTTCAGAAATAATTGAATAGTTCACAAGATGATTTAACTTTAGTTTAATGCAGCAATGCTAGCACAGATAATTTGTATCTGGGATCACCCCAAGCAAATCAAACATGAGAGATTACAGACAATAAAATATAAAACATCTCTAGTGAATGCTCCTGTAAAAAAAAAAAGACTAAGCACAACCAAATTTCCAATCAATATCTCTGAATTTGCTTCAAATTCCAAACATTGATTACAATATCCTCTTTCAACTAGAACTGCATCAAATAAAGGACATTAGAAGGAACAACTCACTCACATATTGATATCTTAGGCTTCTTGTAGTGAAGATTGCAGAATATGCAGTTCATTCATGCTTTATTAGAATCAACATTTTGAACTGGCATCAACCATGATCAATATGATCTCTATTTGAACCACCATTAAGCAACAAACTCAGGTCACAAGGAGTGGAGCCCCGATGGAAAAATATCAAAGATTTTCAATATTACATTCTGCTTACATGAGGAACCATTGAAGTGCTTGCGGATCGATTATTTGTATGAGGAACCATTGAAGCAAGAAAAATTATATATTGAAATAATTTAATTAAGGAAAACAAAACAATATGATATTATTCAAGTTCAGTAGTCTAAATCTATCACCATAATTAATACAGATGGAAATAAATAAAAAGAATCGCATTATATTTTCAAATTAATTGCCACCTATCCATTCAAATATTCATTCGCTCTCTTGCACATATGAAAATTTGATCAAATCCAACTATAAATTTCTCAAATACACTAATTCCCATGAGCTGACAAATAAATTACAGACAAGACATGCACATAGCGGTTACTCATTTTCACATAAATGATAAAACAATCATTCCATTCAAAACAAAAAATGCATTGTTTCAAATTCGGGCCCTTGTACGGAGTCAGAAAACCTATGAATACATATAATAATTCAATTATATATGGGTTAATTTCACTTTCACCCCCTGAACTATTATCATTGTTTTCATTTCATCCCTAAACTATCATCATTGTTTTCATTTCATCCCTAAACTATCAATTTCATGTATTTAGTTTAGTCTAAAGTTCCTGATTTCAATTCATATGGTCTGATGGGAGACAAGCCTAAACTAACAGGGAAAAAAAAAAGGAGGTAATTTTACAATGTGGACAACCTAAATCACACCAACAAACGCCCAACTTACATCCTACAACTAAATATTAATATTCTGCTCCATCCCTCATTTCAAAATAGTGAATAATAATAAAAAATCAGTGTGTGTATGATTTAAATTGCTCAAATTTTGAGAGGACTGTTTTGACTATCAAATTAGGCTTTAATGGTAAGTGATTTGGACTGGTGGTCTCCAATTGGACCATATGAACTGGAATTGATAGCTTATGAATGAAATGTAAAAATAAAGATAGTTTAGGGGAAACAAGTGAAATTAACCCATTATAAATTTACAAAACCCTAATGAATGAAAAGACACAGCAAAAAAAAAAAACACATACACACACACAAAAAAACAAGAAAACCCAATTGAATTGTTGCAGAATAGTACTGACTTGTAATCTTCGTTCTTGATGAACTCAACGACGATGTCCTTCTCCGGCTGGATCTGGAGCATTTTCGTGACGAGGCACATGAAAGGGGTGGGCTTGCGGTTGCCGCCGTAGGTGCCGCCGAGGTGGTCGAGCTCCATGGCCTTGTCGACCAGCGTCTCGGCCGTGAGGCCGAAGCATTGTTCCTTCCAATAAGTGTGTTGGTATATCTTAGACCTCAGTATCTTCTCCACCAGGTTCTGTGGGTTCGTACCCCTTATGTTCTTCGCTGTTGGGTCCGTACGATTCGCCATCGATGACAGAACCCCCCTTTCAAGACTTCGAATTTATGGCGCTGTCGCTGTGTGTGGATATGTATATGTTTATGTATGTAGATATAGAGACAGAGAGTGTGAAACCCTAACCCTAGAGAAATCGGAGAGAGAGAGAGAGAGAGAGTGATAAAGATTAGGCAAAGGCAGACGACGCAGACAAAGGGTGTGTTTGGTGTATTTTGAAACATGTTTTTTGAATAAAATTTTTAAAAATATGTTTGGCTACAAATTTTTTTTGAAAAATTCTAAAATTATTTCCCTCGTTACACATCAATAAATCATTTTTTCTCTTTTTTCTTTTTTTTTCTTTTCAATCACTTTTTCTTTTGGCACATATCTACTTAATTATAATAAAATATTAAATCATTCCAACCTCTAAAACTATTTTTAAATATACAATCAAACAAACTAATAAAATTTCTAAATTTACTCCTCAATTTTTTTTAAAAAAAATTATCTCAAAACACAAACCAAACACACCCTAAAACTCTCACTATGGGTCGGGCAAGGTTGGTTGCCCCGATTTCACCTTGTTTAGACCTAAAATAAGATTCAAATTTTAGTTTTGGTTTGTTATAATTTTCAGAAATTATTTTTAAAAAATTGGTGATAAATTCAATTTATATTCAGTAAATATTTTTTATTAGTAATAGATTCACCTTTTGTGGAATAATTTGATGAGAAATGAAATATTGGGCAAAGGCCGACCACGCAGATTAAAGAATTAGAAGTATGTTGAGATTGCAAACGAGCTAAAGCGAACTGAGTTTTGCTGGCTCGAACTCGACTCTTTTGCTTATTGAGCTTGTTTATTAAGTTTGAGTTCAGCTCGATAAGTAACTATGATCAAACTCGACTCGATTTGTTAATATTAATGAAACTTGAGTTTTTCAGTGATTTTTTTTCCAAAATTGTCTTTAGTGATTTTCTTTTTCAAAATTATATCAAATTTTCGCTCTATCTTGTCGAGATGAATTAAAAAAGTATATTTTTAAAAAAAAAATTAGAAAAAAATCACTAAAGACGAAAATAAGTTTAAAAATTGCTTATTATGACTTGTTTTTGTCTGTTTTGAATTTTTTTTTTTAGATTTTTTTTTAAAAAAACTATAATTTCTCAATTCATCTTGTCAAACTGAATCTAGAAATTTAAAAAAAAAAATCACTAAAAATGAAAATAAATCAAAGAAAAAAGGTCCAAAAATATATATTTCCCAAAACACCCAATATACTTACACTATGAGTCGGGCAAGGTTGGTTGCCTTATTTCACATTGTGTAGACGTAAAATGAAATTCAAATTTTAGTTTTATTTGGACAAATTACACTAATAGTTCTTATATTTTACCTCTTGTGTCATTTTGGTCTCTGTGTTTTTAATTAGTTCAATTTTAACCTTTTATTTTTAATTTTGTTTCATTTTGGTCTAATCAATAACCTCTGTTAAAAAAATTTAACAGAAAATAGTCATGTGCACAACATGTGATCAACTTTGAGGGGCAAAACAGACATTTCCACCTTAACCCTTCCCTATTCCATCTCTACAACACCCTTTTTTTTTCCTCTCATCCACCGTCTGTCATCAATCTCACTCCACCACCCGCCACTACTAAACAACACCACCACCACCATCTACCACCAAACAATAGCAGAATCGGCATCAATAGGTTCATCAAAACCCTAACAACAAATGCCTAGGAAAAGAAGTAGGCCTTAGAAAATCGTTGAGAAAATAGAGAGTGAAGAGATTAAGGAAGAGCAATGAGAAGAAGCAGCAGAAACAGTAGTTGAAGAGAATGAATCAAAGAAAGCAAAAATAGGTGAGGAAGAAGAAGAAGAAGAAGAGAAAATGAAGATGAAAGAAGTGGCAACATCATTATCAGTTGGGGATGCAAAGAATGAAGCAGAGCTATTGCCAAAGAGACTACTGAGAAGCAGTGCTTGGAAGAAAGGCAAACCTCGTAAGAGCAGCTAAACTTTATCAATGAATGATTAATCAAAACCCTTTTTATTCCTTTTATTATTATTATTATTTTGATGGATTAATCCAAGGGTAGAAGATCAAAAGATGAATGATTTTTCATTTATAATTATTTTTCTTCCTCATCTGTTTTACTCATTTTTTATTTTTTTTTAGTTATGGTTTTGATTTGAATGTTGCTTTTTTAAGTTTTCTCTGCTTCTGATTTTATCATTCTCTCTCTTTTTTTTCTTTTTTCTTTTTATCATTCTTTACCTGTTTGGTTGAATTATTATTTGATTTGGAGGAATTGGTGATCCGTCACTTTGTTATTGTTATTGTTTTCTCATCTCTCTCTCTGTTATTCTTTTGATTATCAATTTGTTTTTTGGTGATGGTGGGATGATAGGGGTAGATGAAGGAGGTTGGATGGAGGTGATGGATATGGTGGGTATGTGCAAAAGACAGGGTGGTGAGTTTGGTAGTCTGGATAGTAAACGGCACTAGGTTTGGTATGGTGGAGGTGGATGGTGTTGATGGATGATTTTGGTGGTGGAGGAAGGCAACGGTGCTAGATGATTGTGTTGTCGAGAGTCCAAGAGGAAGAAGATGGTGAAACAAGGAAAAGGTAGTGAAATGTCCATATTACCCTTGAAAAGGGGTCGTGTGCGTCTCACGTGTTTGTTTTCGTCAACAATTTTAACCAGTGTTACTGATTGGACCAAAATGAAACAAAATTAAAAATGAAAGGTTAAAATTGGTCAAATTGAAAACACGAGGACCAAAGTGACACTGGGGTAAAATACAAGGACTATTAGTGTAATTTGCCGGTTTTATTTTGCTATCGTTTTCAAAAATTATTTTTAGATAATTTTGTTAGTCTTTTGTTGAATTTTTTTTTAATATTTTAGTTATTTTTTTTACTTTTTAGATAATATATTAAAATTATCTACATTTAAAAAGTAAAAAAAAAAATTCACCTAAATATTTAAAAATAAATGAAAATTCGAACCAAAATGTACATGATTTTTTTTTTTGAATTTTTATTTATTTATAGTGAATTTATTCTACTTTTTAGATGAATCTTGATTAGGCAAATCTAAAAGGTACAAAAAAAAATTAATTAAAATATCAAAAAAAATTATAAAAATAAATAAGAACACTTCTAAAAATAGTTTTTGAAAAATCAAACTAAACAGATAGTTAATTTTTCTCGCATAAAATAAAAATAAAAATTTGAAAAAAAATGATTATAATTTTTGTCAAATTAATTTTTTATTTTAAAAAATAAGTTATAACCACTCAACTAAAAACAAATTTTGATTTTTTTTTTTTTTTTTTTGATTTGTTGATAAAATGGATAGATAGATAGATTAAGGTTTGTTTTGAGTATGACATATTTTTTTGACTTTTTTTATATTATGAAAAGACGTACTAAAAAGTAGAGATGTGATATGACCAAGTAAGCTGATAAATTAATAAGCTGCTTCTTTTTTGTTTACCCAAAACAAGCTTAAGGTTCAATTACAGTCTTGGATATAAGCAATTCCTTACATCAAAAAAAAAAATGTTGGGAACAAATTTTGAGTTTTTTTTTTTTTTTTTTTGATCAATAGTAATTTTCATTAAAGTAAGATTAGCCAAACAAGACTTATAAAGAGATCAACAAGAAGGTTATACCAAACTAAGGAAAAATCCTAGTGCAAAAAACAAAGGAAAAATTCTCAAATGAAACACAAAGGAGAAGCTATGTATCTATCAAAACATCAAATTCATATTACAAAGCAAAAGTCGATTATAAGAATTCAATAATAGAATAAGTTTGAGATAAGTACATAAGCTACTGTAGGACAATCTTCACTGTATTTAAAAAGATTAAATTCTATTGTGTACAAAACAATAATAAGAATAAAAGAAATAGAGAAAAGGAGAGAATTTGTTTGATTACAAAAATTAAACTCGAAATAAAAAAAATAAATAAATAAAACCACAGATTTTATTTTGTTACAAAAATAAAAATAAAATCTGATTAAATAAACATAATTAAAAACAGAATAAAATTAAACAACTTACTTGGTTAATTTATTTGAATAACTTTTCTGATCAAGTCCAGTGTTTAACACTGTGTCCTTAAGACAGATTCGTCCTCTCCACGGTGCTTTCAGAATTTGGACGTCTATCTCCCAGGATTGAAATGATCTCTACAAACAATAGCAGCACACAAATTGTTTGCTTACGAACACACTAAGTGTTTACACTCTTTCTTTCAGAAATAAAATGCACGCAAGATGAAGAATATAATTGCAGAGGATGGAGTACAGAAAATTGGAATTAAATCTAAATGGGAGGCTAGTTATTTATAGATGTAAAGGTGACTCTTGGTTTTGAATTGAACAAGTATGAAAACCTGTTAGATTCAAATTTTAAACAGATTTGAATCTGTTTATCAAACAGATAGAAACGGGAAGGGCTCTGTTTGGATGAGCAATAAATCAAAACAGTTTAATTCTGTTTGAAAACGGGAAGGGCCCTGTTTGGATGGACAATAAATCCAAACCGAGTTTAATTGAATTCTGGATTTTATTTTAATAAAAAATAAATTAAATTCAAATGTTTTTTGCCCAAAAAGATTAGAAGACACACACCGCGCCCAAGCCCAGCCCGCCCGACCGGACGGACGGACGGCGGCGGCGCGCCGTGTGTGGTGATTTTGGGTCCAATGGGTCTAGCCCATTTGCCCATAACCTCTCCCCTAAAACACTTGGGTACCCCTTGGGCACACCCCAAGTATCTCACCCTAAGGCTTATAAACCCTTTCAAAACTTCCAACCAAATCAATGTGGGACAAGCCAATTTAACCACCTTAAGGAATTTCCACCAAAACTCCATTTCCATGGAGCACACTTTGGCTTCAATTTCCCATTCACTCGGTAATGGTTTTAAGCAACCCAAATATACCACGTGAATCACAACGCGGCATAGAACGCGTTACCACTTTGACCCGAGTAAATCGACACTCGGGGCCCACCTAAAAAATAGACCGAACTTAGGAAAAAATTCTGGTTTTATCCAGAATTTTATAACCATTTCCAACAGCTACATCCATCTGTGTGGTAAGCTACAATCACATCAAAAAAGACAAAAAAAAAAACACAAAAACTCTCAAACCTAAAAGAGGCGGTGACGTGGTAGCGACGCTGAAATGAGGGAGGAGAGAAGAGGTGAAAGGTGGCAGATCATGTTGATGGTGGCCAAACAAGAGGTGGTGGCATGGTGGCGATGTTAGAATGAAGCGGATGATGAGAGGAGAGGTAGAAAGTGACAGATCATGTTGATTGTGGCCAAACAAGAGATGGTGACGTGGTGACGACGCCAGAATTAGGCGAATGAGGAGAGAAGCAGATCATTTGAAGACCACGACTAGAGTTAAGACGAAGGGAAGAAAACACCTCACAAAATAAGAGAGAAGGGTAGAAAGGCAAAGCTTCCAAGTTATTTGATCAGAAAAGAAAGGAAATGAAAGAGAAAAAAATAGCAGAAGGAGGAAAAAAGAGGCCAGAGGCCCCCGAAACCCCCCTTTCCCACCCTGGCTACCGCATACAAATGAAACCCTGAGGAAAGAAAAGTTTAGAGAGAGAGAGGCTCTTAAAGTTAAGAGAGAGAGAGAGAGAGATTTTCTAATTTGGTTCTCATTTGTCTAACGAATTTTGAGTTTGAAAAACAACTGTTGGGAACGAATTTTGAGTTTGAATTCTAGATTTTGGGTGTTAAGATTTTCAATAATATTACAAATTCACACTTAATTATTCAGAAATTACTCAGAATTATCTTATGTTTATATTTATTTTACACATAGACCCCACAATACACAAATTCAATTTCTACCACACATTTCCATTCGGGATAAATTTATGATGGTTAAGATGGGTTCTTAGGGGGTGTTTGATAACAATATTCAGTACTTAAAACTGAATTGATTAAGTGATAATTAATTAAGTCTGTTTGATAACTATAATTGATATCATTTAATTTAAATACCTTTTAAAATGTAAGCTAAAATTTAAAAAAATTTTAAGTCATATAAAACTTACTTAATTATGATTGAATTTATAAATACTAAACATAAGTATCCATATATACGCTATTATAAACTCATTACTACCACCACCACCACCACCACTACCATCATGCCACCACCACTATTTCCACCACCACCATCACTACCGCTATCACCACTACCACCACTACGCCACCGCCACCATTACCGCCACTACTACAACTACCACTACCATCATGTCACCGCCACTATTATTACCACCATCACCATCACCATCACTGCTACCATTGCTATCACCATGCTCCCACCACTGCTACTATTACCATCACTTTCATCATCATTGTCATTATTGCCATAGACACCACCATCATTTACTACCACCACCATGGCTGCCACCACTACCACAACCACACAAGTACCACCACAATGCCACTGTCGCCACTACCACCACCATCATAATATAAAAATTAAAATATATAGTTTAAAAATAATAAATTTTAAATTTGATTTTATGTATATCAAACAACTTATTTTTAATTCAGCACTTAAATTTTTATCAAACAGATTTTCAACTTAAAAAATTCAATATTCAATTTTCAATTTTCAATACTTAATTTTCAATTTTCAATTTTTAGTTTTCAGTTTTATCAAATAGGACCTTAGACTTATTCTAAAATTTTAATATAATATTTTTATGATATATGGCTATAAAACTTGTCACTTTTGCGCTCAAATTTTGATGACAGTTGACTTTTTTGAAAGTAAATTTTAAAAAAAAAAATGTAAATATTAAGGCTCAAAGTACTATACATTTTTGGTCGCCAATTAATTTTATAAATCCCTCCAAAATTTCAAATGTCTCCTGCACCTACGACGATTAAATTGGCGACTAAAAAAATTTTTAATCGCTGAAAGTATAGGTTTTGGTGACAAAAACAACATTAGTAGTCAAAAGTAAAACTTTTTGGCGACTAAAAAAATTTAGTAGCCAAAAGTATAGGTTTTGGTGACTAAAAATCAATTTAGTCGCCAATTATCGACTTTTAGCTACTAAAATATTTGGTAGCCGAATGGAAAATAAAAAAATGATTTTTTTTTCTCTTTGGCGACTAAACTTTGGTCGCCAAAAATGTCCTTTCAGCGACAAAAAAAATTTTAATCGCCGAATATTGACTTTTCGCTACTAAAATATTTAGTAGCCGAATGGAAAATACAAAAATTATTTTTCCTCTTTGGCGACTAAATTTTAGTCGCCAAAAACTTACTTTTAGCGACAAAAAGAAATCTAGTCGCCGTATATTGATTTTTAGCTACTAAAATATTTAGTCGCCGAATGAAAAATAACAAAATTATTTTTTCTCTTTGGCGACTAAAGTTTTAGTCGCCAAAAACTTACTTTCAGCGACAAAAAATTATTTTAGTCGCCAAAATAAATTTTTTTTTTTCTATTTTTGGTAACCTATCTTCAACGACTAAAATTTAGTCGCGGATGTGTTCAAATTTTTCTGGGAAATATTTCATATTGGTGCCTAAATTTTTCCCCAAATCTATTACTTCTTCACACGGTTCTGTCTCTCTCTTGCTGTCCCTCTGTCTCTCGCTCAGCCGCTTGTCGAGGCTCAGATACCGTTCAAGATCCACATCGTGAAGGACCACGACATGAAGGAGAGGCTGTGCTTGGAAGTCGAGAGGCTAGGGTTGAGTGCAGTGATTATGGGGAGCCGAGGGTTTGGTGCGATCAAGAGAGGTAACAATGGAAGGCTCGGGAGTGTTAGCAATTACTGTGTTCGTCACTGTGTTTGTCCTATGGTGGTTGTGAGGTATCCGGATGTGAAGGATGGTGGTAATGCGCCTCAAGTGTCTGTGGCGTCTACGGCGGAGGATGAGGACGATACGGAGTTCCATGATGCCTCGGATGATCGCAAAGGTTAGGGTTTTTGATCTCTGCTTAGGATGTTTTACATTCCAATTGAATCTGAATGCTACAATTGACAGCGTTGCTTTCAAGGTCATGTGATTATGGTGCTGTAAAAGTATGAGCAATAGGTGTTCGATGATATGCTTTAAACACTAGATTTAAACCAAAGCTCATTTGAACTGAAAATTTTCAAATTTCAGTCAAAACACCGAAAAATGAGAAGACAAACCAAAATTTTTCATGTAATTTTTTTTTTTAATAAACATTTTATGTTAAACCAAACATAGAATGTTTGGTTGAGTCTTCAAAAATTATGTTTTGAATTTTTTTAAAGTAAAAAACTAGTTGGACAAAAATAAACATGAATTTTTATTTCTTTTCACCAACTAGCTTTTTAGATTCTAAAAAGTCAATCAAACAAACCAACACGGAACACATATTTTAAAGCCAATAAGTAGACTTTACTACTATTTCATTAACGATTTAGATTGTCATATGAAATTGAATCATATTGTCAGTCTGCCCTTGTTTTCTTGATCTTGAGATTGTTGGCCTGTAAGTTCTATTTAGTTGCTTTTCACTTTACTTACATTAGTAGTTGGTTTAATCATGTTTTTCTACGGTTTCTAAACCCAGCATTATAATCTATGTCATTGATCTGCCCCAATATGAATAATTGTTTTCGTCTGCACATACCTGTGATGTGGATCAGTTGGTGTGATTATTTTTTAAAATTTATTACTCTGTTTCCTTCACAAACATCTAAATATCATGAATGGGTGATACAGGAAAAGAGATTCATGTTGAACTTTAATATCTTTGGTTGCATTACAGCTTGTATACATTAGTTGCTTTCTTCAATGTGAACTCTGATGCATTACACAGCTAACTTAAGGAAATACAATTCTACAATAAAGGAATATACAAGAATCATGGTAATCACTATTGACCACCAGCACCATCCTTCTGTACGTACCTAAAATAGGATACCTAAAATTGGACTGTCAATAATCATTCCTTAATTATAGGGATTACATATGACTCCTAAACTGTAGGGATTTCCACAGAAATTAACAATTTTTTTGTAAGTATATGCATTATGTTTATTAAATGTTTACTGTATTTGTTAGGGCACTATGTTCCCCAGCTTGCAGAACAAATTTTGCACAATAATAAGAATGCTCCAAAGGATGACTATATAAACCTCAAAGGTTTTATTGTGAGTGATGTCCCAACTTGTACTTACTATTTTCATTTTGGCTAATTAGCTTTTCATTTTCTTTTGGATAGAACTTGATTGCTAAGAGCTTCTGTGCTCTAGGATCGTTAATCTGTCATTAATAGAATTAAAATGTTGACTACTTTCATTTTCATTGACTATTAAAATGTTGTTAGTGTGTTCCTAGTTAAAATTGTTGTTTTACTGTGGAAAGCATAAGCATAGTAGCTCATTGTGGCAGAAGAGAGTGAGGAGGAGAAAGAAAGAAAGAAAGGAGAGGGGCAGAGGCAGATTATAGTTATATTATTTAAGTACACTTTCACTTTCTAAATTAATAAACACTTAAAACACAAAAATAGTTATATTATTTAAGTATACATTCACTTTCTAAATTAATAAACACTTAAAACACAAAATTAAGTCTTAATTTTTTTTTAAATTTTTTTTGTTAGTTAACAAACCAGTAATTGTTAGGAACACATAATAGATCACATAATAATCCATAGAAAATACAATGAAAGGATGGGATCAAAACTCAGTTCATAATAAATATCAACTTGACTGCGGTGTTGCCCTCAATGAGTTCTTTGTTGCTTACAATGACATAGACATGTACAGCTTGTATACTCCACTTTGTGTTGATAGTACCTCTAGCACCACTAGAAAAACTCCCATGATCCAAGGCATTGCTCCTCAATTATTTTCCAAAATTGTGAGTCCCTCTCTATTTTTTATATCAACAATCATATGCGTATTAAATTACAATGATATCTCATGAAATGTTTATAATTATAAATGTGAGCACACATAATGAACATTTTGTGAGACATCAATGCAATATGTGCGCGTAATTCTATGTTTTCATGGCTTATTTAGAATCCTTGCATGGGACACCAATCATAGAAAATGCGAATCAGCCCCCGAACGACCGTATGGATGTCACAGCCACCTTCCCCGTCACAAATAGGACCTGTGACAACAGACGGAATGTAATTAGCATACGTAGTTTGGGAGTTAGAGCTGAAAATGCATTAAACTATCGTGTGACTCACACGGACAGTTTCCCCATGACAAATAGGACTTCTGAGAACTGACGGAATGTAATTCGGACCGGTAAGTACGGAGTTAGAGCCGAAAATGCCCTAAACTTAGATGAAAATTCAGCGTTTCGTGGGCTAAAATTCATAACAGCCCTCGATCCACTGTGTGAGTCACACGGACAGGTTGCCAATGACAAATAGGACTTGTGAGAACTGGCGGAATGTAATTTGGACCCGTATGTAGGGAGTTCGAGCCGAATACATCCAAAACTTAGTCTTTAAGGGTAACAGCCACGTCTACAAATCACGAGATTTACGTGATTATCTATAAATGATAAGAGGTTATTTGCAAGGTAAAGTAAAATTTGCCCTATATTCTTTACAAAAAAACCTGAGCCAACTAGAAGAACCACTTCATTAAGTAATAGTAGGAAACCTTACAATACATTACAACAAGGGTAATACAATACTGTTGAATTGATGAAAACCGAAAAGAATATGACCTCGACTTAAGGTCATTGCTCACTCTACTACAGCACTATTGATACATGTTCCTCATATAATTGCACTAGTGCTGATGTAGTAACTAAAAATAACATTAAATTAAGCACATAAAGAAAAAATTAATAATAATAAACGGAGATCTTAATCCACCACATTTGGTAGATAAACAAGCTTTAATTTAATTTCCCTAGCTAAAAGTGTCGTGGAACTTTCTGCCGCAGAGAAGAGCGTTCTTTGGAATGGGGAATTCGTCTCTGAGTGAAGTCGATGCTGTGTAGACACGTACATAGAGTTGCTGACCGAGGTACTGTCTTGCCCAAAACTCTAATCTCAGATTCCACATTCCCACATTATCAAGTGCTACATAAATGGCAGTCCATGATTTTGGATATACCTGCAATATTTACCAAACATGTGACATGATCTTAAGGTAGTACGACTGTAAAATGAATCAATTGTGTTCGCTTTGTTAAAAAGCTCATTTACGATTGACATATATTCTCCAACTTTCCCATAAACATCTTTTTTCTAACTTATTTACACAATTTTTGGATCATAAGATGTAAGCCAATTTTTTTTAAAAAAAAAACTCTACAAATAATCACAATAAATTGCACCAAATTATCAAACACACTTCTGTTTAAGCACTCTGTGGACTAAATACTCTAAAAATGGGATAAACTAGTTACCCTCAAATACTCTAAAGAACTCTGTGGACTCGTTCTGTGGTCGTTGGTTGTCAAGCCATCTGTTAAATATGTCAACATGAGAGCTTTAGCTATGAAACTAATTGTTTGCGAAAGCAAGTGCCTCATACGTCAAACTTGTTGGGTTAATTTTTCTGGGCTGTTTTGGAGTCACCTGCCTTTGTAGTGTAGTTCAATTGTCCATTTTGGGATATTTGGAAAATTAAACAAAATAAATTCGCCATGGCTCTTATCCTAACCATTTTAACATTGTCCCCTTGGATACTAGTATTTATGGTTGTCAGAAGTCAATTCTTCTTTGAAGATGATCCACAAACCTACTTGAAAACTATATTACCTTGATGCAATAGACTAACACACTACTTCTAGGTGGTATTTTCCAATAGCATCATTATCCATCATTTTAATTGATCTTGTTATTGGGCCTTTTGCATTTGCATAACCAATTCCTCATGTTAAAACTGTGAACATAAGCTGATTTTTGACTTATAAATTAAGCTTCTCCTCCCCCACTCAAAGAATAAGTTGATTTTTGATTTACAAAAAGCTATAAGCTATATTGTTAAGCTGAACCAAACACATCAAAATAGCTTAAATTAAGCTAAAAGTTGAAATAAGTTGGAAATAAACCCTACCAAATAGGGCCATAGTAGTTTTTTTTAGCTCATATTTTAGCCAAATAGTCAAAAAATTACTAAATTAACTTATTCCCAAACGAGGCCTTATGTAGGCTAAAATTTAAGAAAATTTTAAATCATATAAAACTTACTTAATTCTAACTGAATTTATAAATACTAATATAAGTATCAATATGTATTATTATAAACTCACCACTATCACTAGTACCATCATGCTACCACCACCATTACCACCACTACCACCATCACTATTACCACCACGCCACCGCCACCATTACCACCACTACTACAACTACCACTACCATCATGTCACCGCCACTATTATTACCACCATCACCACCACTGCTACCATTGCTACCACCATGCTCCCACCATTGCTACTATTACCATCACTTTCATCATCATTGTCATTATTGCCATAAATACCACCATCATTTACTACCACCACCATGGCTGCCACCACTACCACAACCACACAACTACCACCACAATGCCACTATCGCCACTACCACCACCATCACAATATAAAATTAAAATATATAATTTGAAAATAATAAATTTTAAATTTGATTTTATGTATATCAAACAACTTATTTTTAATTCAGCACTTAAATTTTATCAAACAGATTTTCAACTTAAAAAATTCAATACTTAATTTTCAATTTTCAATTTTCAGTTTTATTAAATAGGACCTTAGACTTATTCTAAAATTTTAATATAATATTTTTATGATATATGGCTATAAAACTTGTCACTTTTGCGTTCAAATTTTGATGACAGTTGACTTTTTTGAAAGTAAATTAAAAAAAAAATGTAAATATTAAGGCTCAAAGTTAAAAATAAAAATAAAAAAATGGTCTTATTTGGTTTGTCTTTTAAGAGACAATTTTTGAGAAAAAATTTTAAAAATTTGTTTGGTTGAAATTTTTTTAAAAAAAATTCAAAATCACTTTTCTCTTTATTACACATCAATCAATCAATTTTTTTTTTCTCTTTTCTCTCATTCTCTCACATCTTACATATCAATCAATCACATTTTTTCTCTCGTACCCATCTATTCAACCAAAAAATAAAAATAAAAAAAGGCTCTATTTGGTTTAGTTTTAGAATCATTATTTGATTGTGGAGTTATAATTTAAGTGTGGAATTGTGAGTTGAGTTAAATTTTGAAAAAAGTTTTGAATTGTATTTTGAGTTTTATTTTGAAATTTTTTAGATTTATTTTTTTAAAATATTTAAAAATGTTTAAGAAAAAATTATTTTTTATTTTTTAATATTTTAAACTCAAAACACAACTCTACACTCAAATTATAACTAAACACATAATTCAAAACTCAATTCAAAAATTATTTTCAAAACTCATAACTAAACACATAGCTTAAAACTCAATTTAAAAACTCTTTTCAAAAATCATAACCAAACTCTTTTCAAATTGTTTTTAAAATTCAATTAAAAAATTTTCAATTTTTTTTTTGTTCTTCAAAAATAATTATTTTATATAGTTTTATTTTTTGAAAAATAACTTTTGTTATTTTTTTTAAGTATTGACCAAATAATTTATTATAATATATATATGGTGATCCAAATTTTTTTAAATTTTAAAAAATTAAAAAACTGAAATATTTATAAAATAAAATAAAATATTTAAAATAAAAAATATATATTTAAAGTAAAAAATATTTTTTTTCAAATATTTTTAAAAAATACAACGCACAATTGTATGAAATACAGTATACATTAAAAAAGTATATCTCAAAACTCTTTTCAAAACTACCCAAACAAATTTTCTCTTTTTAAAATTCATCTCAAAAACACAATTCCACACTCAAATCATGATTATTCAAAAAATAATTTTAAAAAATACTTTTTGTTTTTTTTATTATTTTAAAATAGAGTTTTAAAAAGAATTTAGTTATAAATTTTGAAAAAGTTTTGAATTGAGTTTTGAGATGTATGCTTGGTTATGAGTTTTAAAAATAGTTTTAAATTGAGTTTTGAATTGTGTGTTTGGTTACAAGTTTTAAAAAAAGTTTCGAAATTTTTTTACTAGAATTACAATTCCAAAACTCAACCAAACGGTTTCTAAACCATCCAAAACTCCAAAATTATTTTCAATATATACAATTAAATAAATTTTTAAAATTTATAAACTCTTTTCAGAAAATTATTTCTCAAAATTATTTTACACATACAAACTAAACATGGCCAATAACAACTAAAGTTAAAAATTATAAAATTTAAGGAGGACAAAGTATAAATACTAAAAATATTAATATTTTCCAAAACGAAAATAGCAAAAAGGAAATACAATGAAACAACTAAACCCAACAGACAGCAAACCCAAACCCAATGCAACAAGCAAATATTGACACAGCTTTGCGCAACCGTTTGGGCTCTACTTCTACCCGATTGATGAACATACAACATTAGCATAGCCTGCCAAACTAGGCCCAATGCAGTAGCCCAGTCGATTCTTTGAACTCGATACAATTCCAGTTATTAAGTTCGGGGAAAATTATGCATAGGTCCTGTTTAAAATATGTATACACTATTTAATTTAACAACTTTTTGAGTAGACTCAAAAGTTTTACTTTTCCTCTCTCTCTCTCTCTGCTTTTTGCCTCATTCTTTATGTTTTCCTCTCTCTTTTTTTTTCTACGTTTTCCTCTTCTTTTCTTTGTTATGGACGACGATCGGTGATCACACCTTTCTTATTCTCTTTCTCTTTTTCTTTCTAATATATAGCCATTGGTGACCAACGACCACCATTAATTGGAATTCACAGGCAACTACTAACCATCGACATTAACTCGTGACTTCATCCTCACCGACGGCGAAGAAGATTAGTAGATCTACTTAAATCTGATGAGTAGATCTACATGAGATCCGACTAGATCTAAACCAAAAATAATTGCCGAAGTACAATATTCTTTCTATATCTATTCTTTCCTTCGATTTCTCAATTTTTCTACCTTTTCTCTGTTACACAAGTCTATTTTTCTGTTTTAATGGAGAAAATTTTCAAATTCTGAATAAGTTGTTTTCGAGTATTAGTTATAAGCGGTGAAAACTGTAAAATTTTGCAGTTTCAATTTTTTTTTGTGCTAGAATGAATCATGGTTTAAAACTGTAAAATTTTACAGTTTCATAACATTCTTTAGAACTGTAAAATTTTGCAGTTTCATAACACATTTTTCAGTTTGATTAATAAGGATAAATACTCGATAGATTTTTGCTCTGAAACTGTAACATTTTACAGTTTCAAAACTTGTTTTTCAGTTTGATCAATGATGGAGATTATTTGCTTAAACTCTACAAAAATTGAAAAATAACATATGTTTTTCCCATTGTTGCTGTTTTTCGTCGTTACATTTTTTTTCTTTTAATTTATCAATATTTAACACATGTTGCTATGTTTTTTCGCTCTAATTTTTCTATTTATTCTTTTTTTTTTTTGCAATATTCTGGACATTCCAGTGAGTCTCCAATGATGTTCTTAACGTCCAGTGAAAGTTCTGGACATTCCGATGACTTCCATTGGTGTTCATAACAGTCCGGTGAACTTTCGGCGACTTTCCGGCGATACTTCGGCAACTTTCAAGCGATACTCCGGCGACTTGCCAGTGATGTTGAACATTTCGGCGACTTGACCGTCTGATGGAAGTCCGACGATAGTGAGATGTAACAGCATCTGTAAAAAAAAATTTAAAAAAAATATGATTTTTTGGTAATAATTAAAAATATATAAGACTAATTAGTACAAGTATTTTGTTTTGGGATTAGATGGGTTTTGAACTTTGTATATAAGACTTATTGGTAAGTTCCCCTTGAGTTTCTTTGTTCCAGTCTTTCTTGAAAGTTTTTATTTTATTTTATCTTATTCATATGATATTATAATAAAATTTAATGACTGAATTACAGTCATACATAACATATAATTAATTTAAAGAAATTTTTAAAGTGAGAAAAAAATCTTAATAAATATACAAAGAACAAGACTCATACGTAGGTAAGGAGATTCGAATCTCA